AAGACAGAAAAAATATTCAACTTCTTCAACTTCTTTATTGTTACACACTATTTACAAAATTAATTTGCATCAGTATTATAAAATGAATATAAAAAGAGAAATCTATGTTACATATATGACATAGACATAGACAAAGATTCAGTGATAATGGTGAAAAGATTTCTTGTGCACATTTACTGATCGTCACTTAAATATAATTTTGAATCTCATTTTTTTTCTGCAATTTTATTGCAGGTAGGGCGCCATAAACGTTGACCACCTTAATCGAAGGGGGATGCTCTTGTCAAAATATATAAGAAATAAACGTGGGAATAAAGGAAGCAAATTAAATGTTAATTAAACGTTGACTATACCATAATCGAAAGGAAACACTCTTGTAAAAGTATATAAGAAATAAACTAGGGAATAAAGAAAACAGGTTAAATCATTTGGTGGTTTATTTTGGTCCATTTATTTTACCCGTAGTGTTCCCTTTTATCATAGGATTTTGGGTGATAGGGTTACGTGCGTCTCAATTGAGTAATAGGTACCGAAGACGTCAAAATGTGGTAAGAACATCAGTGACACACTCGGCTAACGGCTAATTGGACTTCATCTGTGATCTATTACTGAGCAGACGCTCGGCAACATGGATTCTGTTGCGATGCTTGAGGTATGAGGCAAAAACACTTGAAGTATAAAAAGAAAACTTTTAAAACTGACTTTACGTTCAGTGACGCCCTGCTTTTTCCAGGACACCGGCAAATCGCCCTCACCAACGTGGACGACTGGATTTAGGGGCAGGATAAATGACATTTGAATAACTCTAAAAGCATTCTATTGCACGATGGCTGTTTGAAGACTAAGTTTAGAAATCATGTCAGACTCACAGGTGGCTAAGAAATTAGAGCGAAGTTACATTTCGTTTTCTTTTTAAAATTGTGACTATCAAGACGGTGGTTAACTTGAGTCTGAATTTAGGTAGACCATAACTAAACAGCAGATGCAAAATGTAAGAAAACAACACGTACTGAGCTTTTCAAAGTAAAACCTAAACAATTAAAGCAAAACATGATAAAACATAATGCAGCCGACGAGCTTCTTGGCTCGTTAGTGAATTACGATGATAAGTATTTCCGCTTATGAGAAGAATTTGAGGGCTATGAGTACATGGGTATAGGTGTGTCCGTTCAGAAATAGATCCCAGAAGACGTCAAGAAATGGCAAGAACAAAATGTGACATATTCGCCTGATGGCTCGTGCGTCCGGGGATACTACTCTGTAAATCTTTGGGTAGGGTGTACCGCTGCAACACTGAAACCCTCACCTGTACTAGACTATGATCAGCTTGATTTTGCTACACTATTCTGGAATAGTCACCAAAACCCCTACCCTATCCAAGGCTAGTTATTTTCAATGCAAAAACTTTATCACTATTTCGTAGTCCAACATACGCTGACTAAACCAATACTTTACAAAGCCGCTTTCGAGTTTCAATTTTTATTATACGTGTAGAACCCTGGGTAAGAGCCCCGTTTTAGACTAAATTATTTATACACTGGCCCTTTTTTTTGGTAAATTATACTCTATTCTAGACCAAAACTGTCTAATTTCTATACCCTATGCCAGAGTAAACTGCCTGAAAACCATACTACCCTTCACAGCGGCATATACCCATATTGCTTATATAGGCGAGTACCCCCCGGGGCTCGTGTGCACTTTTTTTTGTTTGTTTTTTGTTTTTTGGTCTTACTGCAATTTGACGGCATCTGTGATCATAGGCTCTGCTGTGATCCAAGTCCCTAATGCAATATTTGAATTATTTGACAAAAACCCTTGAATTATCAAGAGAAAACTTTGGAAGATTTACGTTCGTCCCTGAAAAAAATTATAATATTTAGAGAGAAAGCCACATCAGCCCTAGCTGGTTTTCATGCGAGACCACTATCCTGATCCATTTGGAATTTGTAAATTTTGTTTTTTTGGGAGGAAGGAAAATTAGAGAACCCGGAGAAAATCCCTCGGAGCAAGGCGAGAACCAGCAACAAACTCAACCCACACATGACACCGGGCCGGAATCGAACCCGGGCCACTTCGTGGGAGGCGAGTGCTGTCATCACAGCGCAACCGCGCAATGTTAAAACGCATGTAACAATTACCTCATGAAAGTCATAAATACAAAGCGAGTTTGCTTTGCAAATCTAGACAGTTACATTTCATCCATTACAAAGCGAAACAACACCACACCGAAGAATGAGTATCTCTTACAAACGGACCAACTTTTATTTAATTCTCTCGATTTTGGGTTTCATAATCCTTCTGGTCGTATGCCGGTTTACCATAACTGATCTCTCCGTCAGCACTGCTCGCTGTTGAGAAGAAAAAAGANCTTGAATTATCAAGAGAAAACTTTGGAAGATTTACGTTCGTCCCTGAAAAAAATTATAATATTTAGAGAGAAAGCCACATCAGCCCTAGCTGGTTTTCATGCGAGACCACTATCCTGATCGATTTGGAATTTGTAAATGTTGGTTTTTTAGGAGGGAGGAAAATTAGAGAACCCGGAGAAAATCCCTCGGAGCAAGGCGAGAACCAGCAACAAACTCAACCCACCCATGACACCGGGCCGGAATCGAACCCGGACCACTTCGTGGGAGGCGAGTGCTGTCATCACAGCGCAACCGCGCAATGTTAAAACAGCTAGACTCCGTTTTAAATGCATGTAACAATTACCTCATGAAAGTCATAAATACAAAGCGGGTTTGCTTTGCAAATCTAGACAGTTACATTTCATCCATTACAAAGCGAAGCAACACCACACCGAAGAATGAGTATCTCTTACAAACAGACCAACTTTTATTTAATTCTCTCGATTTTGGGTTTCATAATCCTTCTGGTCGTATGCCGGTTTACCATAACTGATCTCTCCGTCAGCACTGCTCGCTGTTGAGAAGAAAAAAGAAAAAAAAGAATCACAAAAAAAAAAGGAGACTTAAAAGCAAACCAATTTACAAGCAGATGAACTTACGAGCAACAACATTTAACATAGCCAAATACATCGCAAGCTTTCGTGGCAGCTGTGTTGTGACTGTTGTTGTTGTTTTCGTGATCGGACTGACGATATRWGTGGCTTTTTTGTTGTTGTTGTGGTTGTGGTAGTTGCTGTTGTTGTTAATGATGATGATGATGATGGTGGTGGTGATGATGACGACGACGACGATGACGATGATGATGACGATGATGATGATAGTGATGAAGATGATAATCAATATCTTACTGCGTCTGCAAAACTTATTCTTGTGCTTATGCGCTAGTGAAAACCAGCCTTACCCGCTTGGTGCGTGCTAGTAGAGGTGGTCGCTGCGGTAGTTCCGTTATGTTCAAGCAGCGCAAATTCGAGACATTTTTGACAAAATCATTCTAAAATGCAAACTTTGAGTTGCAAATAAAACAACGCTTGAATAGCATCGCATTATCGAGTGCAAGGAGTAACCCAAACTTGCATGGCGGTCAAAAATGCAGCATTAATAAGTTTAAGGCGAAATCCAATAGGAAATCGACCAATTTCAGTTTGTTTTTAATGGACAAAAACCTTGTAACAGAATATATTACAGTCTTAAACGGTTGCCTGAGACAACACCAAAAACACTTTCCCATGGAAAGCGAAGGAAACAAATTTTAAAGTTCAGAGAAATTGTGCAAACACAGATAACATTTCACCATCGTTTCATTTCACCAATACTTCCAAGTGTTTCATGTGAACTTCAAAATTTGTTTTCGACATCTGCAATTGGTGTCGTTAGAAATGATTCCTTTTGAGAAGGTATTTAAAACAGTCGCACAGAAGTTTCCAATACAATGTAAATAATCTTGGTACAAAGTTTTTGTCCTATGGTTACTCGTTTTTTGGTGGATTCCTTCTTAATACCTTCGACAATTTCGTACACGTAGTTCACGTCTTTAGCTTTCCCCACGCACTCGCCCCACGCATGGTCGTCACAGCTCTGGTAGTGTTGGTTTGAACACCTGTTTGAGCTTCCGTGCATGTTGTAACTGGAGGCGGCATGCGGTGCACTGAAACATCGCCCATAGTCTTGGAGACCGAAGTAGGTAAAGCCGTTCTGTTGACTGCTTTCGGCGCAGCGACATGCTAGCCTGAAGAAAACGTACAAGTTAGACACAAGTCAGTTTACCTCTACATGAGCTTCTTCATGACCATACTTGACGTAATATATCAAACACGAAAGACCGTGTTTGACCACATTTCCAAACACCGCGTAGAGAGTATAAAATACGACGCGCAGCGGAGTATTTTTGACGAACTTCGAGGTTGGAAATGTGGTCAAGCATTGTATTGAGTGTTTGTTATATCTTCTCAATCGAAACTTAAAATAAGAAGAAAACGGAGAAACTAAATTGTAAAAATCTATGCTAGTTAAGATCAGATATTCAACACATGATTTTCTTTGTTTAAACTTGATGAATCATTAATAAGTTTGAGAAGCATAAAGCAGAAGCAAAAACAAAAGAGACAAATATACCATTACTTCACTGAGACAATTTTTATCCCCCAAACATGGGTAACATCATACGTTTTCAAAGTTCGTTTATTGTCAGTATCTAGATGCCGAAGGATTCCCTTCTCGAGCAAGTTCTACTCGCGGTATTTCACACTTCAATTTCCATTCAAAAATAAAATTAAAAGTCGAAAAGATCAGCCGTACGCCACATCCATAACAAAACCTGAAATTCCAAATAAGCATTTTCATTTGCAATTATCTACTGAAATAATGTAACTACTGCACAAGAATTTTTTTCATACCGTAGTGAAAAAATACAACAAAAACAATACAATACTTTATTTAGACACATTACGTCTAAGAGCTGTACAAGCTCGTTCAAAATACGGACGTGTATTCCTAAAATACAAACATTTACATGATTTACAAGGTTATAAAATCTAAGCCATCAAAAATTTCCCATGATCTGATACACACTAATCAACTATTAACTAAACGTCAACACTAAGAATTCAATATATACGGTGAAATTTAAAATCTTAACAACGTAACCATGAATGAATGAATGAAAGACTTTATTAAAGTGTCAATAGTATTGGGCTCAAAAAAAAAAACTAACTGGGGACACTATTTACACATCACCCGTGCAATAAAATGAGCAAAAAATTAAAGGTCTAATGTTCTTAGTTTACTCTTAAATTGGGCAATATTAATGGCCTGTTTCAAGAAACTAAAAGGCACGATTACACCCTCACCCTCTAAGATATATACTGTAGTCGCTCCAATCCACATTTTCTCCACTGTAATTGGGATCGCCTGAACTTAAATCTTGAAAGAGTTCCTGTGAAAGTGCCCGGTCGTTTTTCTTATCTTTGAAGCATCCAATCTTTACGTAATTGACATTGCACACGCCTGAGTAACCACGCATATTGATGGGGTTCTCTGGATACACAAAGACAGAAAAAAAAACAGTTAAGACATTTCGAAAACACTTACAGAAGAATGTAATACATATCAAGAGATTATTTTCTTTTACAGATCTTTTACAGATAAAAAACAAAAAATACATAAAGAAAACCCATGTTACCAGCTTCTGCTAAATCTTTCAGAGACATATCCACTGTATTTTGTTCATCATTGGTTTCTAAAGAGAACAAAACAATTGAAATATGGGAAACCGCTGCACTTAAATATATACCTACAGGTAATTTGTGGGCAAATCTTTTACTATCAAGGGATAAATGAGTAGTTATCATTTTATTAAGGTCCTTAAATTCCTCCAGATATTAAAAAACAACCCGTTTTACAAAAATCTGGTGGAGGAGGGCACAAGGTGCCTAAATTCGATTCAGACACATGGCCGTTAGCTCATAATGAGTTCCACACACAGAAGGTAAACTCTTCCTTCCTTAATGCGCTAATGTGTTAGATTCTCTGACCGTTTTCCTCTGTTGCATGATGTAGAACCTCATGTAGGAATGTTGTAATCAGAGATGTTTCTTAACTCACCTGCTCTCCGAAAAAGCCGTCCTGCCGAGCCTGCAGTGATGGTGAACAGCAGTAAGCAAGTGGCTCTTAACTGCATTGTTTTAAGCTGCAATGAACACAAACACAATGGTGACATGAGGGATCATAATTAGTTAATATTTTGCAATTTCTGTTAGGTTTGCTTGCTGGTAATATTATGATTTTAGTGGTACTATCGCAACATAATCCATCAAATATTTTCGCTCGCAGGCGATTGGTTTAAATTCGTGACGTGACAGAATATGTCCTAGCTAAAACTGGGTAATATACGAGTACGTGCTGCGAGAAAATATTTGAATGATAATAAACACAATAGCCTCCATTTGGCGCGAAAATATGCTGAGGTATTTGTCCTTGAACATTATCTGTTACGAGAAGCGAACGGTTTTCATCGAGCTACGCTCTCGGAAATCTGTTCGCAACAGATAATGCCCGCGGACATATACGAGCATATTTTCGTGCTAAATGGAGGCTATTGTTTATTTATCTACAGGCTTTTGGTCAGTGCTACTAAGTGGCACCTTTCGAGCTAATTTTCCATTTCTTGCGGCGTCTGCGAAAGTTAGTGCACGTTGGTAACTTTAAACGGTCTTCTTTGATTAAGATGTAATGGCGGCGTCTTTCAGGGAAGATATCTGGTGCGTGGGTTGGCATTTGTCAGATACGTAACAGCCGCCTCTAAAGTATATAGCACATATAAATTCCTGGACACTCGATAACCGATGAACAATGCTTAATCTTTGACAGCCTCTAATCCTGTATCTTATATAAAATGTCAATGAAGATTTATGTAGGGCTTAGCGGTCGAGTGATTTAAATTTTAAATGGCTAATATCTGTGATAGCCGGGTTTTAAACTCTGTCAAGATACTCTGTGAATATTTCATTCCTTTCGTTTAATTTGTTTAGATACATATAAAAATCTGAACATTCTGGGCAGACTCTTGGACAGTTGTCTCATTCAAAATCGCTCTCATTCCTAAACCCCATACAGCAGAAAATATGTCCCCAACCACGGCCCTCGAAAGTCATAGCTGTGATACCGGCGTTGTAACTATATGTGAAAGTGGTGGAAATGAGCATTCCAAGTTGTGAATTGAATAACTTGAGAAAGCAATCTAATTGGCAAAGATATTGTCAATGAAACATTTCGAATCACAAAGCGTTTTCAGCTGACGGAACTAAATGCGATCTTTGCATTGAGCAGCGTCAAGGGAACCAAATGACAAATAATTTAATAAGACCCTAAACTCTGTCAATTCTAAAACGCTGCAATTCATTTCCTTTGTCATATCAGTGTTACAGAGAATTCGGTCAGTTTGTACTGTAATGGAATGAAAGGAACGAAAGAAAACAAAACTCAAATTACGAGATTTCTATACACAATTTACCTGCAATACTTCAAGAGGGAAGAATAAAGCGTTGTGGATGACCACCTAAAATTCTGCCGCAGAAACGGCAGCTGAAAACGTCTGTGGAAGTAGTTAAAAGTAATCGCAGTTTTGCTTTAGAAAACTCGGAACATCTCTTCGTTTATGCGGTACTTACTTACCCTCTTATAAAAGACACTCCTCGATAAAGGAATGTAAGTGTTATTTAATTTCCCTCCTACATTGATTAAACTGGCGCATTGCTTTAATAACAGGAATGTGACAGCGGTGTCATATTATATTTGCCATTGACAAACAAACACCCAGCCTAAAACCCTTTTGGAAGAAATATGCAATTGCATCGATCCTTTTGGCAACACAAAAGTTATTTTTCTTGTGGGAGGGTTAGCGAAAACGTTTGGCATATACCTTGTTCCGCATCGTGGTGCCAATATCTGTTGTTCCGATTGGAGGAGAGCGTATCACGTGTCATGGGTCAAAGGGCGAACTCACGTACTCCCTAAGGAAACAACAACTTTCGACCCGCACGTGATTAGGTCGTGCAACTTGAAACGAAGAAGTATTGCAATGGTTGTAAATATTTGACTACACCCTTTCAACAGATCAAGAAAGTAAGCTTGCATTTGACAACCTGACCTAGTTGTGTATTTTGCAGTTCTTCTGGCTGGAAGCAGTGGTTTTAGTCTTTTTGTTTCCCTTTTTCAGAGATGATGTGTCGTTTTCTAGTTTGTTTTGATGTGCTGTTTTCAGAATATATAGTAGACTGTTCACAGCCCTCTATTTTCTCGTATTTTTATTCGATCATTGAAATCGCAGGAGAACGGGATGCCAGTGCAAAACGAAAGACTTGGCTGGGTAGGAGGTGGGAACCGAGATAAATCGAGAGATCTCGAGATAATCGAAATCTATTCTTCTTGCTCGCTTCGCTCGCAAACCCCACCCCCACGCACCCCAGCGCCCCCGCTTTTTCTTTCGCCTGCGTAAATGGAGAGGCTGTGAACGGTCTAAATAAATAGAAGCGAGAATTTTAAGGAGACTTTGACATTGCTTAGTGAGATATTAGAATCCTGTTAGAAATAGCATAGTTTCATATAAATTCTTGCTCTAAGGCCATCGTAGGTACGTTTTCAAAAATTTGCAACGGTCAATTTTAAAAAAGGTATGCTGACTGGCAAACGAAACGTCAAGGTCTGTATCAAAATACGTTGGAATACAATGTTTATCACCGCTGTTTCTGTAATTATATTCTTAACCAAGCGTAGTTTCATTTTTAGTTTGTCAATTTTTGCTCTGAACTGTGGCCTTGCTGCACATTGTTTATTCAGCTTTATAGCTGCTCGATCTCTGATTTGCTGGGAGAG